CTGCGTGAAGGAATTAGCAGAGCCCTGGGGATCCAGCTGGTGTCGAGTCTTCCTGAGGCCCAGGGGCATGAGGTCGTCTGGGTCAGGGCTCTTCGGCTGGGGTTCCAGAGGCTTCAAGGGGCCCGCAGGGCGTGTCTCAGGGCCCTTTGGGCGGGGGCCATGTGGCCCCCAGCCCGCAGGTTTCAGCACGGATACTCGGCCAGCAGCAAGTGTGACTTCTGCGATCATCCGCAGGGGACTTTCGGTCATCAGTTCTACGATTGCGAAGGACTCTGGGCGGCGAGCGACGACCCAGACGCGAGCCCTGCAGTGCCAGACCCGTGCTTCGAGCATGGGAATTGGCTGGAAGAGCAAGCGCATGGGATCCCTCCCGACTTTGACTCTCCTGCGCTGGTTTATGGTTTTTGCCTTCTCTCCCTGTCGAGATCCCTGCAGTCGCTGCTCAGACGAAGGTCTGTTCCCGGGGTGCCGAGTCTGCACCTTGTGGGGCTTCCGTGTGTACACCGACGGGGAGTGGCCCCCGGCGTCGGGCATCCCCCGAGAGGCCACTCGCGCCGTGGCTGGTCGGTCGTGGCCCTCTCTCCCGGGGGGATGGCCCGTGAGGGCCGAGTTCGAGGCCCCCTTTGCGGGGCCTGTGCAGACGGCCCCGAGGGCCGAGCGCCGGGGCCGCTCTGACCAGCATGCTGGTCAGAGCGACGGTGTCGGTACCCTTGGGTGAGTTCGGGGCCCCTGTGAAGGCCGAGTTCGGGGCCCCTTGAAGGCCGAGTTCGGGGCCCCTGTGAAGGCCGAGTTCGGGGCCCCTTGCGGGGCCTGTGCAGACGGCCCCGAGGGCCGAGCGCCGGGCTGTCCTCCATGCTTTGAAGGTCGGGCCGCGGGGCCTCGAAGCTGTGGCGGATCCTCGGTCGGCGGTCAGAGGAGGGAATTCTTGTGACCCTGGTTTGGCCGCTGGCAGAGGCACACACGCCTCGGTGTGGAGGCAAGTTTTTGATGTGTATCGGGGCAGGGCCGAGCGGCCTGTATTCCGCTGGACCCCTGCCCATCAGGAATTGTTTCCGCTCCTTGAGGGCCAGGCGTTATCCTGGGATGGTATCGGTCGTAGTGTCGTCGATTGCATTGGGAACGCCTGGGCCGACTTCTTTGCACGACTAGGGGCGAGTGAGCACCAGCTGCCTGAGCTGGTCACCTCGCTGCTGCGGGAGAAGATCCAGGATTGCTATAAGACTCTGGATTTCCTGTCGCGGGCGGCGCAGCAAGCTGCTGCTGCAGCCCCAGACCTGCCCACACTCGTGCGGGTGAGAGGGGACGGCATCCCTAAACTCGCCTTGCTTTCTCACGATATAGGGGTGGTGGAGGGGGTCTCGGAGGCGGTGAGGTGCACGTGGTGTCACTGCTCGGCGCGGACGGCCTTGAGCAGGAAAAAACTCGAGCAGTCTGGTGCGAGATGTGCCCCGTCTCCCCTCCGCATGTTTCTCTCTGCTGTGCGCGCCTGGCGGCGCGGAGGCGCCCTACCCAGGGCGCGATGTGTCGCCGTCCAGGATACCCTCAGAGCGCTGGGGCTCGAGACCTCCGCTGAGGCCCCGATGGAGCCCCCAGATACTTTCGTCTATGAGGGTCATGTTGTGCAGGCGTCTGGCCGCTACTTGATTTGCCGCCGCTGTGCGGCTCACTGTCTATTTGAAGCGCCGAGCTGGCGGAAGCTGTTTGCCCCGTGCTCTGGCGCTGCGTCCTCGGGCCAGGACTGGTTCAGGGACGAGGTGCTGGCTGGACGTGAGCCGCGCCCACCGCCCGCTCCAGCGTAAAGCCGTCGCCTAGCGTCGGTACTGCGCTGGACTGGGTGTTGGGTGCGGCTCGGCGCGCCCGTGCGCGCTTTTAAGGGTAGTGCGGGACTCGCCTGCACCACCCCCTTGAGGCACGGCCTCATTCATGTCTGTTCGGCTAGCTTCCGTCCTCGGATGCTAGACCTTGGTTGTCCCTTGTCCCTTGTCCCTCCTCCTCCTCCTCCTCCTCCTCCTCCTCCTCCTCCTCCGCCTCGCCTCCTCCCCTCCTCCTCCTCTCCTCCTCCTCCTCCTCCTCCTCTCCTCCTCCTCCTCCTCCTCCTCCTCGCCTCCTCCTCCTCCTCCTCCTCCCTCCTCATCCTCCTCCGACCTCCCTCTCCTCCGCCTCCTCTCCTCCTCTCCTCCCTCCTCCCTCCTCCCTCCTCCTCTCCTCATCCTCTCTCAGTCTGACTCTGCCTCCCCCTCCTCCTCCTCCCCTCCTCCTCTCCTCCTCATCCTCCTCCCTCCTCCTCCCTCCTCCTCCGCCTCCCCTCCTCCTCTCCTCCTCATCCTCATATCATCATCATCATCATCATCATCATCATATCCATCATCATCATCATCATCATCATCATCATCAGCATCATCATCATCATCATCATCACATCATCATAATCATACATCATCATCTCCTCCTCCTCCTCTCATCCTCCTCTCTTACTCCTGATGCGCCTCCTCTTACTCCTTTTATTTTCACCAGACTCCTCCTCCTCCTCCTCCTCCTCCTCCTCCTCATACCCCTCCTCCTCATGATCAGAATCAGCATCAACATCAGCATCATCAGCATCATCAGCATCAGCATCAGCATCAGCATCATCCTCCTCCTCGTCGTCATCATCATCATCATCATCATCATCAGCATCATCATCATCATCAGCATCATCATCAGCATCATCAGCATCAGCATCATAATCATCATCATCATCATCATCAGCATCATCATCAGCAGCATCATCAGCATCATTATCATCAGCAGCAGCATCACCAACATCATCGGCATCATCAGCATCATCATCATCATCATCATCAGCATCATCATCATCAGCATCATCATCATCATCATCATCCTCATCATCATAATCAGCAGCATCAGCATCAGCATCAGCATCATCATCAGAATCATCATCAGAATCATCAGCATGCAAAGCATCGTCAGCGTCATCATCATCATCATCAGCAGCAGCATCACCATCATCAGCGTCAGCATCCTCATCAGCACCAGCATCAGCATCCCGTCATCATCAACATCAACAGCCTCAGCATCATCAGCATCATCAGCATCAACATCCTCAATGTCACCATCATCATCATCATCATCATCATCATCATCATCATCATCATCATCATCATCGTCGTCGTCATCATCATCATCATCATCATCATCATCATCATCAGCGAAAACATCAACGTCATCATCATCAGCATCATCAGTATCATCATCAGCAGAAGCAGCGTCGTCAGCAGCATCAGCATCATCATCATGAACATCAGCATCATCAGCATCATCATCATCATCAACAACAGCAGCATCAGCATCACCATCATCATCAGCATCGGCATCGGCATCGGCATCATCACCATCACCCATCAGCATCATCATCAGCAGCATCATCATCATCATAAGCATCATCAGCAGCAGCTGCAGCATCAGCATCCTCTTCATCATCAGCGTCAGCATCCTCCTCCTCCCCTCATCCTCCTCCTCCTCGTCCTCATCCTCGTCCTCCTCCTCCTCATCCTCATCCTCCTCCTCCTCATTATCCGCATTATCCTCCTCATGCCTCTCCCCCTGCCCCCCTCCCTCCCTCCCTCTCCCTCCATCCCTCTCTCCATTCCTTCCTCAGTCCTCCCTGCCCCTCATCCCTCCGCCCGCCCCCCTCCCCCCTCTAATCAGCTTATTCCTCCCTCCTACATCCTACCTCATCCCTCCTCCCTCCTCAATCCTCCCTCATCCCTGCTCCCTCCTCAATCCTCCTTCATCCCTGCTCCCTCCGCCCTCCGCCCTCCTCCCTCCGCCCGCCTACCTCCTCCCTCCTTCCTCCCGCCTCCCGCCTCCCTCCCCCCCTTCTCCGTCATCCCTCATCCGTCCTCCTCGTCCTCATGTTCGTCGGCGTCCTCCTCCTCCTCCTCCTCCGCCGCCTCCTCCTCCCCATCGGCATCATAATCCTCATCCCCAATATCACCCTCAACCCCTCTTCATCCTCATCCGTTCATCCCCCCCTCCCCCCCCCCCTCCTCCCCCCCCTCCCACTCCCTCCCTCGCTCCCTCCCTCCCTGCTCCCTGCTTCTCCTCCCTCCTCCCTCTTCCCGGCTCCCGCTAACTCCCCTTGCTCCACTACTTCCTCCTCCATCCTGCTCATGCTCCCTCATTCCCTCCTCCCTCCTCCCTCCCTCCTCCCTCCTCCCTCCGCAGCTCCCTCCTCCCTCATCCCTCCGCCCTCATCCTCTTCCCTCGCCTCCTCCTCCTCATCATCATCCTCGGATCCTCTTCTTCCGAGAGCTCATTTTCCCAGCGTCTCCTCTCCTCCTCCTCCTCCTTCCTCTCCGCCCTCCTCATCATCATCATCATCATTATCATCATCACATCATATCATACCATCACCATCACCCATCACGATCACCATCACATCACCAGCATCATCAGCATTCATCAGCATCAGCATCATCATCATCATCATCATCATCATCATCATCATCATCATCATCATCATCTCATCATCATCATCAACAACAACAACATCATCATCATCATCATCATCATCATCATCATCATCATCATCATCATCATCATCATCATCATCATCATCATCATCATCATCATCATCATCATCATCATCATCATCATCATCATCATCATCATCATCATCATCATCATCATCATCATCATCATCATCATCATCCGCATCATCATCACCATCCTCCTCCTCATCATCATCATCAGCATCATCATCATAAGTTTGGCTCGAGGTTTTTGTGTGCGTGAGCCAGGCTGACGCGATTCCTCGCGCTGAAACTAGCGCAGACACGGTACGCGAATCGGCAAGCCACCATAGAGCCCGCCACAATCGCCAGCGAGCCCGCCTGCTGCCGGCGGCCTGGGCGGGCAGGAGCAGCGAGCACCTCCGCGAGCGCCTGGCGGAAGGCGCCAGCCTTCTCGCGGGCCACCACGGCTCCTCACATGGGAGGATGGCGGACCACGGCGGCGCGGGCGGCGGCAGCAAGGCGATTTGGGACTGCTCCTGCGGGGCCATGGGCAACTGGGCATCTCGGACTAACTGCCGCGCGTGCGGCGCCAAGTTGCCGCCGTGGGCGGGGCCGTGCTCCACCTCGGCTGCGGCACGCGGGCCTCGCGGCGGCGCCGCGGCTGGCGCCGGCAAGAAGATCAAGGCCCTGCAGCGCGAGCTCGACGGCCTCAAGAAGGATAACAAGGCGCTGCATCGCTCGACCTCGAGGGGCGCTCCAGCGGCGGCGGGCGCCGCTGGCGCGGAGGAGGCACGCGGCAGTGACAGGGTGGCGGAGCTGCGGGGCCTCATCGCGAAGATGGAAGCCCTGGGCAGCTCGGACGAGGCCACGGCGTCGCTCCTCGCGTCCGACCGCAGCGAGATGGCCCGACTGCAGGAAGAGCTGCGCCAGGCCAAGCCACCGCGCGAGCAGCCGCGGGCGACCGACGCCAATTTGGGCGAGCTGGACCAGCGCAGCGTGGCGAAGCAGGAGCAGGTCGCCAAGCGGAAGGGGGCCCTCGCCAACGCCGAGAAGGAGCTCGAGGCGGCGCTGGCCGAGCGCGCCGCCATCAGCGCGGAGCTTGCTAAGGTCGCGGCGACCCACCTGGCGGAGCTTGCGACCAAAGCCGCCACGCCAGCCGAGCGAGGGCGGCTCTTCCTGGACTCCCTCGGCAACCTCAAGGCCGCGGTGGTGGGCCAGGCCCCCTCCGAGGTCGCGGCCGCAGTGCAGCTCGTCGAGGAGCGGGGCGAGCAAGAGGCCGCCAACGTCGCCGCGCCGCCCAGGCCGAGCGGCGCAGGAGGCGGCACCAGCGCGGAGCCCGTCGAGGTCCTTGCCAGCCAGGGCGAGACAGATGCAGCGGACGCGGCGATGGATGACGCGCTGGAATCGGCCCTGGCCGCGGGCCTGGCGGGCCCCGATGGCGACGGCGACCGCTCTGCCTCGGGCTTCAGCCGCGAGAAGATCCGCAGCGCCATCGCAGCAGCCCGCGCCAAAGCAGGAGGTGACCGTCGCAGTGGCAGCGGCGGAGTCATCAAGACGGTGCGAAATCGGCTGCGCGCCCGTGCCCCTGCGCCTCGACGCGCTGATTGCAGCGAGCGACCCTGCCGCCCGCGCGGCGCCCGAGCGCGCCACCGGGAGGCGGGCCCGCGAGGAGAGGGCGGCAGCCGCCCCGACCGCCCTGAGGGCGCGGCCCCGAGGCGGCCAGCCAGGCAGCGGCGCGCCCGCCCGAGGCGCAAGGACACGTTCGAGGTAACGACGGTCAACGGGTCTGGCCGGGGCCCGCCCACCCAGCTCTGGCAGGAGGAGGAGGCTGGCGCTGGGTTCGCGGAGAGCCACCGCGCGGAGACGCACCTCCACGCGCGCGACATCAGCGCCCAGGAGGCGCGGCGCAGGCGGGCGGTGGTGAAGGCCGTCCTGGCGCCTGGCGCGGCTGGCAGAGGCGGCGCTGGAGGCGCCCGCGCGGCCTCGGGCGGCCTCGGGGTCGCCGCCCCCGCCACGCGCGGCCTGGCCAACGCCGGCACGGCGGGCGGCAACCGCGTGACCTGCAGCGACGGGCGCGGCATCGTCGCGGTGACGGACGCGGTCTGCCGCGGCAGCCTCGCCCTCGGCAGCACCCACCTCGCCAGCGACACGGCGGGGGAGGCATCCCAGCGGACCCTCGTCGAGATCGGCGACGCGCTGGTGTCCCAGGGCAGGCCGCGGGTCCTCGGCTGCGACGTCAACGCCGCGCCCGACGTCTTTAAGGCGAAGGCGGGCTGGTGGCTGGAGGCGGTGGAGGGCGCCATCGCGCAGTCGGCCGGGGGCGAGACCTGCTTCCAGGCGGTCGCGCCCACCAACCTCGACTACTTCATCGCGCACCGCAGCCCGGCGGAGTCCGCAAGGAGCTGCAGCACAGTCACCCCTGGGCCTTTCAGGCCCCACTGCGCCGCGCGCTGAACGCGCGCATGGAGATCGCGCCCGCGCGGGCCCTGGGACAGCGGATGGCCTCCCCGAGGGAGCTGCCCATCGGCCCGCGGCGCGAGGCCGCCACCCCGTCGGCCGACCTGCAGGCGCTGGCGGTCTCAGAGGCCTCCTCCCCAGCAGCGCTGGAAGCGGCCTACCTCGGGGCCATGCGTCAGGCCGAGGCAGACATGTTCTGCGCCTACCACGCCGACGACCCGCAGGAGGCGCAGGCGCACTGCGGGCGCGGCCAGGGCCCGAGGAGCGCCGGGCGCGCCCGCCCGGGGCCCGAGCCGAGGCCGCCGCGCTGGCTGCCGAGCACAGCCGCCGCCGCCACGAGCGCTTCAACAGGTGGGTGCTGGAGGCGCTCGAGCACGGCGCAGGCGGGCTCCACGCATGGCGACGCGGCCCGCGCGGCTGGCAGGAGGACGAGCTGGACGTGCTAGGCGCCCCGAGAGCGGGCCAGCGCGAGGTGGTCGCCGTCGACAGGCACTGGGCGCACGAGGTCTGGAGCATGGCCGACGGCTCGGACGGGCGGCAGGACTTCGAGCGGCAGACGCACTCGGAGGCGCTTCCCAGGCCGACGGCGGCCGAGTGGCTGGACGCCGCCAACTCGTCCGCGAGGCGCACGGGCATGGGCGCCAACCGCACCTCGCCGCGCGCCTTCACCCAGGCGTCCGCGGCCACGGCCAAGCTCTTCGTGGACATCGGCACGGCGGTCGAGGAGTGGGGCGGCTGGCCGCTGGCGGCGCGGGCGTCGCCCATCGCGATGCTACCCAAGCCCGCGGGCGGCTGGCGGCCCATCGGGCTGCTCCCCAGCATCCCGCGGATCTGGAACAAGCTCAGGCAGGCCGGATGCGCGGCGCTGGGAGGCCCCCCTTCCGCGGCTGCGGCGCTGGCGCCTTCCGGGGCGGACCAGGGCGCTCGGCCCAGGAGCCCGCGCGGCGCCAGGCGCTGGCGGCCGAGGCGGCGGGGGCGCAGCAGCTCCGCGGAGCCGCGCTGCTGATCGACCTCGAGAGGGCGCACGAGACGGAGCGGCTGGCCCGCGCCGAGCGCCTGGCCCGCCGTGCTGGCCTGCACGGCCGACCGGTCCGCTGCGCCATGTCGACCCACCGCGGGCGCCGACGCACGCGCGCGGGCACCGGCGTGGCCGAGGCGCGCGCACTGGACGCGGGCCTGCTGGCTGGCTGCCCGCACGCGGGGAGGGCCCTGAAGGCGGCGATGCTACTTGTGGCGAGGGCGCGCTCCCGGGAGTACGGCGCCTGCCGCAGCGGCGAGCTGAAGCCCGACATGTACATCTTCTACAGCGACGCGACCGCGGCCAGCTAGGGGCGCGCCCCGCGGGCGATCGCGAAGCACTTGGCGGAGGCAGGGCTCGCGGCGGCAGCGGGTCTAACCGCGCTCGCAGGATCTCGGGGGCCAAGACGGAGGTAGTGGCAACCGACCCGCTGGCGCGCGACGAGGTCCAGGCGGCGCTGAAGGCCAGCACCCCGAGCGCCACGCCAACAAAGGCCACGAAGAACCCGGGCGTGGATTTCTGCTTGGACGGCTCGGCGGCGGGGGCGGCGTGGAAGCCGCGCGCCCAGGCCCGCGAGCAGCTCTGGCGGGCGGCGGGCGCTCGACGCCAGTCCATCAGCGCGGCCACGCGCCTGCTCGCGGGCGGCCTCCTCCCAACGACGGCCTACGGCTGCAGCGCCCAGGCCTGGACCGCGAGCGAGCTCGAGCAGTAGCGGTCGGCGGTCGGGCCCCTCACCTTCGGCAGCGCGCAGGGCCGCTCGCTGCAGGTGGTCTTCGCGCTGGCCGCCGCGCCTGGCGCGACCCCCGGCACTCGCAGGCCGAGCAGGCGCTCGTGGCTTGGGGCCGCGGGCTCGCGCGGAACCACCCCGACACCTCCGGCGACATGCTGCGGGCGCGGCGGCACGCCGCGCAGGTTCGCCTCGAGCAGGGGCCCGGCCTTCTGGCGGGGCGCGGCCCCGCGGCGGCGGCGCAGCTCGCGCTCGAGCGGCCGGGCCGGAGCTCCACGGCGATGCACCGCGGGGCCGCGGACGACGGCACGACGCTGAAGCTCGAGGAGATCGGCGGCCACGCGCCCCGCAGGCACAACCGGCACGAGGCCGCGGCTCGCGACGAAGACCTCGAGCGCGCGGCCAGCGGCGCAGCCGCCCGCAGCCTCCGACGGCGACCCGCGGCCTCCGACGGCGGCTGCTCGCCGCCGCGGCGACCCCCGAGCAGCGGGCGCGGTGGTCCAGCGCCCGCAACGCGGCTCTCGGCGGGCTCTGGCCACTGGCCCGCCGAGCCGCCCTCGACCCGCCGCCGCGCCGCCCGGGGGCCTGACCCGCAGGGTGCGGCGGCCGCGGCACGGCGCGGCACCTTGCCTGGAGGTGCCCCGCCCATGCAGCGGAGAGGCGCGACGCCATCGCGGGCGACGAGGTGCTGCAGGCCTTCGCCGACGCGGCCGAGGCGTCCGACAGCGAGGACCCCCGCTACTCGAGGGCGCTCATCCCCGACCACGTGGCCGCCCTCCCGCATTCGTTGGAGACCGAGGAGGCGCGGTGGAGCAGCGGCCACGGCTACGCGGCCGTGGCTGGCGCCAGCGCCCTGCACACCGACGGTTCGGCGATGCGCGACAAGGCGGGATCGCCCGAGGTGCGCGCTGGCTGGGGGCTGGCGGCGCTGCAGGTCTGCGGAGCAGCGCACGGCGCCTGGGGCTGCGCCCCCGCCCACCTGCCGCAGGACGCGAACGCGGACGAGATCATGGCTGCAGCCCGCGCCCTGCACTGGGGCCTGCCAGGCGCGGACGGCATCCTCGAGATCAGGACGGACTGCAAGCTGCTCGTGACGGGCATCGCCGCGGGCAAGGCCAGGTGCTGTGCGTGGGACCGCCCGCACCTGGAGGTGTGGCGCGAGTTCTGGCGGGCCGTGGACGGCTTCGGCGGACAGCAGTACGTGCGGGTCACCAAGGTGAAGGGGCACGCCACGCTCCGCTCGGTCCGCGACGGTTGCACCAGGATGGACGTCTACGAGGG